TATGGAACTGAAAGTGAAAGTAGTCAAACTGAATTTTTAATAAACCAAAATACAGTTTCAAAGAAAATTAATTCAGATACAAAACTTTAAATTCAGTTTCAGATTAAACACATTCAGATTCAATCTGAAGACTTCAGGTTCAGTTCCTGTTGGGACAACATTGATCCCGTATCAGAGGTCACTCCAAATGACCCACAATGCAGCAGGTCCGGTCTGGATTTGTTCTGGTTCTGGTCCCTGCAGCTGCGGTCTCTGAGCAGCAAGCTGCGGCAGCTCAGGAGGTCCGCCAGCGACGCCGACCGGCTGACAGCGGAGCAGCTGAGGTCCACCACAGAACAGCTGAAGGTTCTGAACGACACCATGGAGCTGCTGGACCCCCAGGTCTGAACAGGACCAGATCCTGGTGAATCAGACCCAGTAGAACCGGGTCATGGTTCTGTTTTTATCTCCTCAGAGACGTTTGGACGAGCCGCAGCTGAGGGCAGAGCTGGACCGGACTCAGAGCCAGACTCACAAACTGAGGCAGAAACTGGACCGGATCAGAACCAGGATCAGGCCTGATGGACTCAGTGTGAGAACTCTGATCCAGTTCTTTAACAAGAACTTGTTTTATTTGTTTTTAAACCTAAAATGTGATCTTCCTTCAGGCTCCCAGTCTGGTCTCTCAGGGGACTCAGGACTCTGGTCTGGAGCTGCAGTACCTCAGTTCTCCTGACAGGGGGCGGCAGCTGGGCGGACCCCAGGAGTGTGTGTGTTCACAACCTGCAGAGTCCAGTGACTGTAGCTTCAGAGGGGGGCCTCCTGGTCCAGCTGCAGACCCTCAGAACCCCCTGACCGGACCCACCTGGATGCTCTGTGGTCCTCCAGCAGGGGGCGCTGCTCCGCTCTGCAACGTCCACAAACACAGAGTCCAGGTGAGTCCAGGTGAGTCCAGGTGAGCCTGGAGGAAGAGGACATCCACAACTGTACAAACAGCTGATGACCTGTGTGTGTGTGTGTGTGTGTGTGTGTGTGTGTGTGTGTGTGTGTGTGTGTGTGTGTGTGTGTGTGTGTGTGTTCAGCAGGGGGGCAGGTGTGTGTCGAGGTGTGTGCTCTCAGAGCAACTGGAGGAGGAGAAGAAAAAGCTGCGGATGGAGACGAAACAGCTCCACCTCAAACTGAGACGAGTCAGGTACACACACACACAC